CAACGCCAGACAGCTACCGGTCAGTCGGAAATCAATTTGGAGTGGGCAAATCTACTGTGGGGGCTGCTGTGATCCAAGTTGCCAGGGCAATCAAAGACCTGGTGATATCAAGGGTAGTGACTCTGGGAAACATGCAGGCCATAGTGGATGGCTTTGCTGCAATGGGATTCCCAAACTGTGGTGGGGCGATAGACGGAACCCATATCCCTATCTTGTCACCGGAGCACCAAGCCACCGAGTACATAAACCACAAGGGGTACTTTTCAATGCTACTGCAAGCCCTGGTGGATCACAGGGGACATTTCACCAACATCAACGTGGGATGGCTGGGAAAGGTACATGATGCTTGCGTCTTCAGGCACTCTGGTCTGTTTCGAAAGCTGGAGGAAGGGACTTTCTTCCCGGACCAGAAACTAACCGTTGCGGATGTTGAAATGCCTATCGTGATCCTTGGGGACCCATCCTACCCCTTAATGCCATGGCTCATGAAGCCGTACACAGGCAGCCTGGACAGTAGTCAGGACCTGTTCAACTACAGGCTGAGCAAGCGCCGAATGGTGGTGGAATGTGCATTTGGACGTTTAAAAGCGCGCTGGCGCAGCTTACTGACTCGCTCAGACCTCAGCGAAAAGAATATCCCCATTGTTATTGTTGCTTGCTGTGCGCTCCACAATATCTGTGAGAGTAAGGGGGGAGACATTTATGGTGGGGTGGGAGGTTGAGGCAAATCGCCATGCCGCTGATTACACGCAGGCAGACACCAGGGCGGTTAGAAGAGCACAGCAGGGCGCGGTGCGCATCAGAGAAGCTTTGAAAACGAGTTTTGTGACTGGCCAGGCTACGGTGTGAAACTTCTGTTTTGTTTCTCCTTGATGACCCCTCCGCCCCCCGCCCCCCCACCGGCTCACTCTACTTCCCTGTAAACCAACCACCCCGCCCTCCCCTCCCCGCCTCGAGCACCGCTTGCAGAGGCAATAAAGTCATTGTTACTTCACATTCATGCATTCTTTATTAATTCATCACATAACTAGGGGGATAATTGCCAAGGTAGCCTGGGATGGGTGGGGGAGGAGGGAAGGAAAAGGACACACTGCAGTTTAAAACTTTAACACTTATTGAAGGCCAGCCTTCTGATGCTTGGGCAATCATCTGGGATGGAGTGACTGGGTGGCCGGAGGCCCCCCCATCGTGTTCTTGGGCTTCTGGGTGAGGAGGCTATGGAACTTGGGGAGGAGGGCTGTTGGTTACACAGGGGCTGTAGCGGCGGTCTCTGCTCCTGCTGCCTTTCCTGCAGCTCAACCATACGCTGGAGCATATCAGTTTGATGCTCCAGCAGCCGGAGCATCGACTCTTGCCTTCTGTCTGCAAGCTGACGCCACCTATCATCTTCAGCCCGCCACTTGCTCTGTTCATTCCGCGATTCAGCCCGCCACCTCTCCTCTCGTTCATATTGTGCTTTTCTGTAATCTGACATTGACTGCCTCCATGCATTCTGCTGTGCTCTGTCAGCGTGGGAGGACATCTGGAGCTCCGAGAACATATCATCCCGAGTCCGCCGTTTTCTCCTTCTAATCTTTGCTAGCCTCTGTGAAGGAGAAACATTTGCAGCTGGTGGAGGAGAAGGGAGAATGGTTAAAAAAGACACATTTTAGAGAACAATGGGTACACTCTTTCACATTAAATTTTGCTGTTCACATTACACAGCACATGTGCTTTCGTTACAAGGTCGCATTTTTCCTCTTATATTGAGGACCTGCTGGTTTGGTGTGAGAGATCACTCACGCAGTGCCAGGCAACAGATTTCGGCTTGCAGGCAGCCATTGTAAGCCACAGTCTTTTGGCTTTTTTAACCTTCATAACATGTGGGAATGGTTTCAAACAGTAGCGCCCTCATTTCCCATACCAAGAACCCGTTGGGTTCGCCATTTAAAATGGGTTTGCAATGTAAAAGGAGGGGCTGCGGTTTCCGGGTTAACATGCAGCACAAACCCAACTAACCCCCCTCCCCCCTCCCCACACCCAATTCTCGGGGATGATCACTTCACCCCTCCCCCCCCACCGCGTGGCTAACAGCGGGGAACATTTCTGTTCAGCAGAGCAGGAAGGGGCACCTCTGAATGTCCCCTTAATAAAATTGCCCCATTTCAACCAGGTGACCGTGAATGATATCACTCTCCTGAGGATAACAAAGAGAGATAAGAACAGGAGTACTTGTGGCACAAGAGCGATAAGGAATGGATGTTGTCTGCATGCCAGCAAACACCGGGACCATACGCTGCCATGCTTTGTTATGCAATGATTCCAGACTACGTGCTACTGGCCTGGTGTGGTAAAGTGTCCTACCATGGCGGACGGGATAAGGCAGCCCTCCCCAGAAACCTTTTGCAAAGGCTTTGGGAGTACATGAAGGAGAGCTTTCTGGAGATGTCCCTGGAGGATTTCCGCTCCATCCCCATACACGTTAACAGACTTTTCCAGTAGCTGTACTGGCTGCGATTGCCAGGGCAAATTAATCATTAATCATTAAACACGCTTGCTTTTAAACCATGTGTAATATTTACAAAGGTACACTCAACAGAGGTCCCCTGTGTGCCCTCAGGGTCTGGGAGCACGCCTTGGGTGAGTTCGGGGGTTACTGGTTCCAGGTCCAGGGTGATAAACGTATCCTGGCTGTTGGGGAAACCGGTTTCTCCGCTTCCTTGCCGCTGTGAGCTATCTACATTATCTTCATCCTCATCTTCCTCGTACCCCGAACCCGCTTCCCTGTGTGTTTCTCCATTGAAGGAGTCATAGCACACGGTTGGGGTAGTGGTGGCTGCACCCCCTAGCATCGCATGCAGCTCCGCGTAGAAGCGGCATGTTTGCGGCTCTGCCCCGGACCTTCCATTTGCCCCTCTGGCTTTGTGGTAGGCTTGCCTTAGCTCCTTAATTTTCACGCGGCACTGCTGTGCGTCCCTGTTATGGCCTCTGTCCTTCATGGCCTTGGAGACCTTTTCTAATATTTTGCCATTTTGTTTACTGCTACGGAGTTCAGCTAGCACTGATTCATCTCCCCTTATGGTGAGCAGATCCCGTACCTCCCGTTCGGTCCATGATGGAGCTCTTTTGCAATCCTGGAACTCCATCACGGTTACCTGTGCTGATGAGCTCTGCGTGGTCACCTGTGCTCTCCACGCTGGGCAAACAGGAAATGAAATTCAAACGTTCGTGGGGCTTTTCCTGTCTACCTGGTCAGTGCATCTGAGTTGAGAGTGTTGTCCAGAGCGGTCACAATGAAGCACTGTGGGATAGCTCCCGGAGGCCAATAACGTCGAATTCCATTCACACTACCTCAATTCCGACCCGCTGAGGCTGATTTTATCGCTAATCCCCTCGTCGGAGGTGGAGTAAAGAAACTGGTTTAAAGGGCCCTTTAAGTCGAAAAAAGGGACTTAGCCATGTGAATGTGTCCAGGCTTAATTCGATTTAACGCTGCTAAATTCGACCTAAACTCGTAGTGTAGACCAGGCCCCAGTCTCTATTGGGTTTAATTTTTTGTTGTTGAAGCTGGTTCCCTCTGAGTTTGGGGGTGTGTGTGTGTTGGTGGGGGGGTTTCAAAATCCATTTTAAAAACATGAGCATTTTAGTATTACACTTTCATGGCATCTCTACAAGTAACCAGGGTGGATTAAAATCAATTGTTAATTTAAATCAATCTTGTTTTGCATTTGTGCTATTTTGTTGGTTTTCTAAAGAGGCTTATTCTCTTTGTTTGGTTAAAACATGTTGACATGTAAGCAAATACAGCCTTTACGCTAAATTTGGTTCTTTTTGCTAACTAGGAGGGTATGTTATATCTATGCATATTTATTTAAAGCTGTATAATAGCTTAACATACATTTATTCAGATTCTTAATTTGTTCATTTTTTGGTTAGAAAACGAATGATGCATCACAACATTACTAAATGATTTTTTTTTACTCATCATTCCTCATGCTACATTTGGGTGGTAACTGAAATTCAATTCAAAATGCACAATAACAGCAATTTCAAATGGTTTTTAATAGCTAAAATAAAACCTCAAATGTACTGGATACATAAACTTATTTCTATCAACATGTTTTGTATTTAAAACAGATTTATTAAACATAAGTATTAACGGTTAGTGAATTGAACTGATTGTTTACGGTCACTGTGTCCTTTAAAATTTTAGAATGAGTAGGTCTCATCCACTCGCATCTCATTTTTCTTTGTAGAGTGGAAAAGGAAAACAAGCTTTCCTGCTTTTTCAGCTCCCAATCTGTTTCTCAACTTTGAGAACCAGTCATTGAACTGAACTAGTCAAACTAAAATGAAGAAAGTATTGTCTCTGCACCTGCACAAAGGACTATTGCTGTCAAAAGTTGGTTTAGCACTTTACAAAACTCTGGTTCGTAGCCAGTGACTTCCACCAGTTCAATGGTTTGATTTTTTTTTTTTTTTTTTTGAACTTTGGCAGCAGACTTGTAGTGCTTGAATATTGCTTTTAATTTAATTTAATTAATAGATGATAGTAAGTTTAGGCTTTAATAGGTGGTTATAATTTCAAATGTAATATTAAATACATTCATTTGTAAAGAGATTTAAATCCAGTTTTTAAAAAATCACTGATTTTTATGCACCCTGCAGGTAACTCTTTGAAATGCTGTCCTCTTATTTCATGTAACTAAATCACTGTTTTTGGCCCATATGTTAGCATGAAATATATCACAGGAACAACAGCTTGTAAATGTGGAAAATCCAGTCAGATCCCTGGGCTAGAACAGGCAGCTGTCATACTTCTTGTAGGCTTGCCATATTGAAAAAATAAATGTTACCTCCCTTCCTGTATGTAGGATACCAGGTCTACCATTTTATTCCATTCAGCTAGTCAGACTGGATTAGCACATAGTCAAACATCAATTACTGTGGAACGTAGGTGTACACATTGGTGTCTTCAACCTTATACTATGAAACTATCTTTGTTTTCCCTTCCATTCTAGGTTCAGAGGCTGTAGCCATGAATAATAAAGGCTTTCGACGAGGGAGTTTCCAGAGCAGCACCAGTGATGAAGACATGGTGGAGATAGCAGGAGGAGCTCTGGATTTCTCCATCACAGATGATGATCCCCCGCTGGATAGAGAGATGTTGGGAGGTAATGCTCATGTTGCCGTCTCCATTAAATTCCTCATCACTAAAATCTTTATGTAGATAATTTCAGGTTAATATGTACTACTTCGTGTGACTGTAGCAAGAGCCAGTTTCTTGGAGTGCCCAGGTTGTGGTGTAAGGGCCATATGCTTTGCTGTGTCACTCCTATTGTGACCTCAACACAATTCTCTACACTGCACTATTTTCACCTGAGTGGCTTTCTGTACAGGCTGCTGTAGTACCATATAGCAGCCAAGTGTGCACTCACCTGCTTCCATTGGCTTCTGTCACTATAAGTAAACAGTGATTGAATTAGGACTTGGGTGCAGCACAAAGTAGCCGAGTGTTTCTTTAAAAGAGAAGGTAAGATAGACTACAGAAGGTAGACTAGTGACTATTTCTAAGAGAGAAGCCAGGGCATCTCCCCATCACAGTAAACTATCTAATCCTGGCTGTACACATTTAGTGAATTGTCATACAGGGAAAGTATTTTCTCTTCTCAATCTATTTTTCTGTTTGCGTGATCTTTTAGTATATACAATAAATTAGCCTGCACTCTTTTTCTGTGTCTTCAAGGACTTGTTTTTCCTCCCCACAGTCCTTTCTAGGCACTTCACATATCACCGGGGGCAAGCAAGCAATTAATCAGTGGCTTGAGGCAGCCTGGTGTATGAGTAAAAGCAAACATGATCCCTGGGACAGTTATGACCCAGAAGCTCTATTACTCATAATTGTTCAGCCCCCATCCAAAGATCTTGGCTGCTCTTCTTTATAATGCAGCTGTTATTTGAGGCGCTCTTCAATCTCAGCAAAGCCATCTGCTTTGGTTTACTGTTTTTTAGATGTTGAAAATTGGGAATTCCCCTCTATCTTGTTCAACTGATAAATACAATGTACCTTTCACTCAGGGTGAAGTGACTCATTGAAACAGTTGCATGTAATCTGCATTGCTACAGTGCAGCCACTTCAGTAAAGCAAAGAGATAAAGGTGTTTTGAAGTTCATCAATTTATAGCATGCGGAATAAAGAACAAGGAGAAGAGGGACCCTGCCTATAGAGGACTTGTTAGAGAGAGCACTTAGAATACTCTTGGGACCTCCATACCAAAAAGATGTGCACAAATTGGAGGGGATTTAGAGAAGAGCCACAAAAATGATAAAGTGGACAAAGAGACTTGAAAGATCTAATTCTATATATCTTGGCTGATCAAAAGCTAAAGGAAATGGGGTATAATGGTCTAAAGTATTTAAGGGGCAAAATGGTAGGGAGGGAGAGAAATTGTTCAGGATAGTTGACTGGGATGTAAGTAAGAGTAAGGAGACTGAGCCAAGGAAAATTTAAGTTCTTCAGAAAGTATCTGAACAGGGAAATCTATTAGCTTGTGCCATCCCTGTTGCTGATGTCTTTTAAAACTGGGCTGAAGAAAGGACTCGAATACAACTGTGGGGACCATACTGATACTGACTAGAGGAGTTGTCTAGATCAGTGACTTCCAAACTTTTCCAGCCACATCTTCCTTTTAGACCATCAATATTTTCCATTATCCCCCTCCCATGGGAACACAAGAATTGCCATACTAGATTAGATCCAGGGACTGTCAAGCCAATACCTTATCTCCAACATTGGCCAGCATCAAATGTTTCAGAGGAAGGTTTAAAATCCCACAGTAGGCAGATGTGGCGTAATCTGCCCTATGAAGATTTCAATATCATCCCTAATAGAGTTAAACTCTGAAACATGAGATGTTGCATTCCTTCCAAAACTTGTATTATCTATAACTCTCTGGATACTCTTGTTTTCCATATAAATATTCAGTTCATCTTTTAATCTTGCTAAATTCTTTGTCTCTAACATACAGTGGCAATGAGTTCCACAGTCCATGTATTGTGTGAAAAATTATTCCATTTTGTTTTGAATTTTCCACCTTTAGTTTCATTGAATGCCCCCTTAATTCTTGTTGCAAGACTGGAAGAATAGAAAGTGTCTGATGCACCACCTCTGTACCATCCATTATTGTATTTACCTTTATCATGGCCCCTCTTATCTCCTTACTAAGGTAAATAATGCCAATTTCTTTCAAGCACTCTTCATATAAATATTTCAATGTCTCTAATCATTCTTGTCACTTCTCTAAATCTTTCCTAATTCTGCTATATCCCTGAAGTGATCAGAATAGAATTCCAGGAGAAGGTGTAGTATTGATTTATATGATGGCATTATATTTTCCATATTCTCAGTCTTGTTCTGTAATCCTCATCCCCAGTTCCTTACCCCACAAATAAATACCTAGCGCTTGTATAGCACTCTTCATCAGTAGATCTCAGTGTTTTACAAAGGAGGTCAATATTGTTAAACTCATTTTATAGATGGGGAAACTGAGGCACAGAGGGCAAGTGACTTACCCAAGGTCACTCAGTAGATGCGTGGCAGAGTAAGGAATAGAACCCGGGTCTCATGAGACCCAGTCCAGTGCTGTATTCACTATGGCACACTGCTTACAATTACTAGACAAGACTTTTTGTTCTGCATATTGCTAACGTACACAAAAATGTGCATTTGCATACATTTTCATTCAAAAGGTACTTCAGTTTTTATGAAGTGTAATAACTTTCTGTATTCTTGTTAATGATAAGATGTATGAGTCTATGAGGAGTTGCAAATCAGTTGTAAATGCATTGTGAAGGTTGTCAGACCCAAGTAGCTAGTTCTCAACCTTCTGGGGTGGTGGTGCTTGGTTTTTAATGGCAGCAATTCTTAAAACACTGAAAACAGGAAGCAAACAGAAGTATTACTCTTAGAGCCTATGAAAAAAGTGATGGACATTCACATTTCACTGAGTACCAAAACTGATTGATGTCTTCCCTTTCCAACCGTACCTCCAGTGAGTCCTTGCAAGACAAGTCCATCAATACAGCGTGCACATCTGGTGGCAGTGTGGCTCAACAAAGGGGTTTCAAATCAATCTCCTTCCAGTTTGCCTCATCCTCAGGGAAGCATTCTTTTGGTTTTGATCTAAAGTTGTAGCATGCAGGGCCTGTATTGAGCTGAGTGGAGCCGTTTACAACTCCTGGAGCTGTGGTGTCACCTATCTGCAGATTCAGGCAAGCATTACTACATTGTGTTAGCCTTGTAAACATGAGTAGATCGTTATCTCCACAACCCTGTGGGGGGGAGAAAGGGGGGGGGAGGAAGGAAGGTGTCTGCAACCCTTCTGAAAAGTGTTTGCAGTGTCCCAACCCCTCACGGGGGCCACCTCCCCCACTTTGGGAATCGTTGATCTAGGATCCCCAAACAGGACTGGTGCCCACAGTTCAAGAAGGAGATTGATAAATTGGAGAGGATTCAGAGAAGAGCCTCAAGAATGTTAGGAAACCTGTCTTATAGCGATAGACTCAAAGTGCTCAATCTATTTAGCTTAACAAACAGAAGGTTAAGGAGTGACTTGACTAGTCTATAAGTTTCTACACGGGGAACAAATATTGAATAGTGGGCTCTTCACTCTAGCAGAGAAAGGTCTAACATGATCCAATGTCTGGAAGTTGAAGCTAGGCAAATTCCGACTGGAAATAAGGCACATTTTAAACAATGAGAATAATTAACCATCAGAACAATTCATCAAGGGTCGTGGTGGATTTTCCACAGTGATGATTTTTAAATCGAGATTGGATGCGTTTCTAAAAGATCTACTCTAGAAATTATTTTGGGGAGGTTTTATGGTGTGTGTAATACAGAAGGTCAGACTAGATAATCACAGTGGTCCCTTCTGATCTTAGAAACTATAAATCTGTGAACTAGGCCCCATGTCTTTTGTGCTATTCATGAATCCGTGACTATATGTCTATATTATGGCGACTATAACAGCATACTTATGTTGGCATAGCTCCATAGTGTAGACACAACCTACCAACAGAGAGGTTTTTTCTGTTGGTGTTGGAACACCCTCTCCCCAAATGAAGTTAGCTATGTTGACAGAAGCCCTCTTCTGGGGATTTTGTTGGCATAGCTGTGGGTCAGGGATGTGGGTTTTTTCACACCCTTTATTGATGTAGCTATGCCAATATAATTTTTCTATGTAGATCAGGCCTAACTTGTAGTTCAGAACCATCTGTCTAATGTTACTGTCCTTCAAGGGGGATATGCACACTTATCATGCAGCATAGACTTCATCTCACCCACTGGTGTAGAACTATAATATCTCACTATACAGTAACTTTGTCTTATTTTTGAGAGTCAGACTATCAGACATGTCAGTTTTCAAAAGCGTCAAAAATGACGTGGAATAAAAATTCAGGTTATCAAATTTGCTTTAAGGAGTATACTAGATGCACTTTTGGTAACATGTACAGAATTTTAAAATATAAAATCTTCTACTGAGTTTGGCGGTGGATTTATAGGTACCTTTAACTTATTACTAACATTTACAAACCAGCATGATTTGCCAATGGACTTGTAAACACTGCTTCTTTCCTATATCTTGGTGCTGTTCCATCTATGTCCATACTTGGATTTCAGCAGATTTCAAAAATGAGTAACTTTCTTTAACTACCTCTTGCAGAGCTAATTTAGTGCCTCTCAATGGACTAATTTTATTCTGTCCAGTTGGGTCCAATTCAGAAAAAAAGAAGGTAGAAGGAATAAAAATATTGTAATGCTTGAGATGCATTAATATTCCGAGCGGCTTTCCTCCCCCCCTCCCCCTTGCTTTCCTGCACACTGATGGAGATGGTCAGCTGTAACTACTGTTGTTTTTTCCACTTAAAGGAGTTGGCTTGTACACAAACCACAACTGGGTGGAAAACCACACAAGAGATCCATAGATGGTTAATGGAAACACTTTAAAGAGGGTGTCACTGAGACTTATATTTGCTTAGAGCTTGGGATTAACTTTAAAATGTCCTTTAATGTTCCCAAAATGTTTTTCTTAGCGAGCCTTTTCTTTTCCTTCCATGTGTCCCAGATTGAGCAGTATCTGGTGTTTTTTTCTGTGTGCTGGTACTTTCCTCA